AATGAAGGAGCAACCTCTCTCGTCTGTGTACTGGAGAGGGGGACGCGACGAGCTCGCCGAACGTTTGTTACTCTCTCAGATACATCTAGTAATCTCCCAACGACAGCCGACTTCGGTACCTCTCAAAGCTGACTTGAAAGAAAGAAGGGAGAGCCTGATCTCGCTCACGAGCACCCAATCCACCATACAACTCGTCGAACACCCACGGATCCGTCATCCCTCACATGTGCCGAACGAGCGAGCGAGCCCTGCTACTATTGCAGTGTTGCGAACACCACGAACTATCCTGGCCACATGGACTCGATATTTACCCGCCGCGGCAATCGACGATGTTCGAGGTGTCTATCGGAGGCCAGATCCCGCATGCCAGGTTTCAGGTATCCGCTCAAGTTGTCGAAGCCAAGCGATTGTCGTGGAGGACAACGCGGCAGACCAAAGGTGTGGCCTCGCCTTCGTTAATGCCTAAGACGATAGGTCAAGTTCGACGGAAGCAAAGCAATCATCGAGAAGGCCTTCCATCTCGGAGCCAGTAGTGAAGGCCTCGGTGCAGCTACGGTCACTGAATGCCTACCTTCGTTTTCCCTCGAATCGCCAACGAAAGCAGCCATACTCTCGATCGTTACTGTGTGCAGTTATGCACTATATCGGAATACGGGACATTTCAGCACCATCGAGCGCGATCTCTAAGAGTGTTGGCATGCAACCATCGACGATCGTTGCAGGAGCTGGGCACTCTCTACGACCATCACCGCCGCTGAGATTGTCATCTAGGTGGACAGGCTGAGGACAGCGACCGCTCACCCCCGACACCTATCTAAGCTATCTCCCAGCTCGTCCTGTGCTCGCTCTGTTTCTTCCCACGTCTTGACTGTACTGTCATTCCTTGAAAAGGCTTGCTGTCAGGGTTTACCATCGGAGCTGCGCCTTCGACTGCCACTGTTTCCTCGCTCTTCTACTAACACACGCCGTCCCTTATCAGCTCGACTCAATCCCCGCGCCACAAGACGGACAGACACGTGTGAGCGCTAGGCCTGGCATATTGTACTGTCACGCAAAGCGTATCGTCTACAGGATCAGTGGTATAGTCCTTCTTCCTTACGGCTCACTCCTTGAACTACGTGTTCACTTTCCATCTGAGCCTAAGCTTTCCTGCCCACAACAATCATGGCTTCTTCCGATTCTTCGACGACCCTACCGGGTTGCGGCTCGCATAGGCCTTCCACCTTGATCGACCCCGAAATCTCAAAGCATACATTCAATGTCGACGGTCGATCTCATTTCGAACTTCCTTCTAACCGGTAACGACGCCTCCGTCAGCTTTTTTAACATCCACAAGTCGCAGGGCCACACTCGCGATCTTCTAACCAACATGGCGATACGACATAAGTTGGCTTCTCTGAGACATCAAATAATTCACTTGCGCAGATAGAAGAAGCCGAGTGCCGGAGTCTCGGTACAGATAGAAATCGCCACAGTCGTGCAGCGTGTAGGGACGTTATAGGCGACTACCTGAGGCTCGCATCACCTTCGGATAAGTACCGAACCGGGTTACTCCAGCATGTCCTAGACTGATGCTTAACATTTGAAGCCTGTAAGCCAGGGTGTGGTCCGAGAGATTACAATTTGACTGTTGTTCAGACGCTTTGGGAAGCTCAAGCATAGACAGGTCGTGATCATGATCGGGACAGTATGAAGTATCCGGGAGGCTATGCGCTTCTTGGTCTGGTTCAGAGATATTACATCTCAAGTATACCAACTTCTTTCTCGACGAAGTCGACTCAAAAATTTGCATGCAGTAGAGAGCATTCGTCCAATTGGAAAATAGGCTTTTGACAAAAGCGAGCTGTCTCAGATCTCAAGAACATCCCAATTGCTACGCTTTCCGCGGCTGATGACGCCCCAGGGCTCTACAAAGACATTAAGAAGTCCACTCGGTTTAATACTGCGCAGCGAATCTGCATGCTGTCTTAGTAATGACTCTTTTTCTTCAACATCCCGGGATACGATACTCGTTTTGCAAAGCCTCCGCTCACTGTTCTTGCTCCTGCGTTCTTTCCCGCGTTCGTCTCTGTCCCGCCACCTGGCTTGAAAATGCTTTCAATTTCTTTGTTCTTGTCGGAGACAGCTTCCTTCAACAATGCCATTCTACTCCCACAGAATATCAACCGAGACAAAGGGTCAGGAACTGCGATGGCGTTCACACAAGCGAAAAAATCTGGGACAGCGGAGGGAAAGGGCAGCCGATATTGATTACGCTGCCGCTGGATATCTTGCGGGTACGCAAAGCGGATCTGAGGGAAGCAAGATGCAAAGAAGGTGAAGTGGAAATGAGTCTCGGAAAGCTTGCCGGAATAGCAAGTTCACTCAAATCAGTGCTCCAATTGTCATGAATTCTCAGCAGGCTCCGCTTGATTCGCGAAGCAGATCAGGGTCGTCATGCCGCTTTGTCGTCCTCTCAATTTCTCCAACAGGAATGTAGAGAAGGTTTCAACCATCATCCCGCCCTGTTTCCAGCAAGTTGTAACGCGATTCTGTCGGCGCCACATCAAGACAAGCGGCGGTCCGTCTCATTAAGATGCCTTTCCGACGAGCTAACGCAGGACCGCCATCCTGGAATCCAGGTCGCATTCACGACCGCTACGGATATCGAACAGCTTCCGGGCCTGCAACGTTTGGTAGCGCCCGCGGCACAATGCAACGGTTCGGCTTCGTGGCCGATCTTGAGGCAAATGCCATCATTATGTCCAGGCTCCACGAGAGTTTGGATGGCTCGGCTTCGTCCCGTCAGTTTGCAGTCTATGTCTCGCGCAATGGTGCCTGCAGCGATGCATAATTGGAAGCTTTGAGCTCGATGCTGCGGAGCATTGCCCTCGCCCACATTTTCCGCTGTCTTGCTGCCGATCCGCCTGCGTGTACGCCTTTCGACTGCAGCGACTTTGACTGTAAACTTTCAATTGCAGCCTTGTGTGGGAAATTGATGGCCGCGCGGAGAATGGGATGCTGTTACTCTGCTAACGTACAGGTACGGACTAGCCTTCATGCGGGTTTGCTTGCCGCTGAGGAGATCTCTCGTATCATGTGTGCGGCTCACATGAGCCCGACGGAGATGTATCGAGGCTTCCTACATGGTAAGCAGAATACAGTGAGATGCATGTCGCAGTGGGTTACCAAGGATCCAAGATCATCGAGGAGGGTCCAGTGTCTGCCGCCAGACCAAAGGTCGACGATAAGCAAAGGGAACAGCGACGTTGTCGAGGGAGTAGTAGCAAGAGCCTTCGGCGCAACTACGTTGGCTCGCCAAGAAGCCGCCGCATGTGAAAGGGATCGAACGGAGGAGATGAGGTCGAGCGAAGCTTGTCTCAGTGCGAAATCAATCCGTGATATAGATCCACCAATACGCTTCCCAATTAAGGCGACCTCAGCTTCTCAGAATGGCAACTTGAAAAATGTTCCGCTGGTTGAGAATACCGCAATCTTGGATGTGGACAGACATATCTTCTGTCTTGCCTTTCGAGTGAAGCCATTGGCTTCGTGAGTTGCGCAATGGCACTGGTTTTAGAAGCAGTCTTGAGTCCAATACATCGCTAACTTTCGTATCGTGGATCGTGGTGGTAGCGACTTAAGTGTCCACGAACTTCGTTTGGCAGTTATCGGCTCATGGCAGTGATTATTGGCAGGGAGAACGCTTTTGCTTTCCCAATACCCGCCAAAGAAAAGGGCGGAGGCGGTGCTTCCAGTCGAAACCAAGCCACGGTGGAGAGAGTAGAATAAAGGGAAATGGGTGACGGAGATAAGTTGCGTGAAGGGCACTGGAGGCTGTACCACCACTGATGCTGTCACTATCTCTTCCAATGCTGCGGCGTGCAATGACCCTAGGAAGTGGTTCTTTACCGATCTCGCACTCGCAGCTGTCCAGAAGAGTGTGTATTGTGAATAGTAAATATGATGGGAGAAATCATCTCAAAAGGGGTCCGTTCTTCTTCGCCGGAATTGAAAGCCCTATCGTCAGTGTATCGTCTCCCTTTTTTGTATCGACCAAGTTTGATCTGCTTCAAATTCCGTGGCTGCTCACTCCTCAACCAGGTTCGCTCGCTCTCGTATAAGGCTTGTGGCGAAGTCGAGACTGCGTCCATATTCGAAGAGATGCCTTGCCGTACGAGGGCTAGGAGTCAAGACGCTATCCTAGAATGTTGGGAGAACACACATGGATCGCGAATGCTCCTGCAAGAGCGACGAGAGCACTTGCATTTCTTCTGACGCAATCCGGGGCCCAGAACGGCTATCCGCCGTGAGATGGGTAAGCCCACGATCGTCCTCTCGAGGATATGCCGTTCAGCGTGCGGCAGAGCGGATCCTGTCGCTGGGAGAGGCCTGGCACGTGTCCTCCGGCAGGGCAGGCAAGCTGGTGGTAGATGCGAGAGTGGATAGGCCGCATCCCGTTTGTTCCATCGAAGCTCGCTCAGGCATGGAAAGATAGGCTCGCAACGAGCGAAGCTCGAGATTCTCAGGCGTGCGGACAATAAGGATCAAGACGACGATCAAAGGCGAGAGCATATCTCAGTCGTCCAATCAAGCAATGTTCTTGAGGCAAACGCCTATGGAGACACCGTACACGAGAGATCGAGTCCCGCTTGCGGCTTTGTCAGGAAACGTTCAGGATGGAGGCTGCCCGCAGTGAGATTTCGAGGCTTCTCACCGCAAGAGGGTACCTGTCATGGACATGGCTGCGAGTCAAGAACATCATCTCATTTCTGTCAGCTCCAGGGCCTCCTCATCTATCTTTCCGTAGTATAGTATCCGATGAACTGACCCCCGTCTTGCCCTCACCCAATATCATACGTGAGCTTGCTCTCGATTAGCACTCTGCAGATTCTCCTGTCCATCATGCCCGGAACACCTGTCTTGCGATTCCCGCCGTACCCACCCAGCTCGTAAATGCTCAATCTCCTCGATTATGATTTATGCCTTCAACATTCGTGCTAATCTTGAGCCCAGTCTTGCTACACGACGACGTCGTCGATCTCCGTGTCGGAAGTCCAATCCATGCCCCAGAAGTGGTCGATGTACGAAGGTAGCCGAGTGGGCGTGACGAAGGGAGGGTGTACCGGGGGAGAGGAAGGTATATCAAGGGCGGATTGATGGGTGTCGTAGAGCTGCATACTCTGGTCGTAGCAGTCGGAAAGCAGGTCGCCGATGCGTCGGTTTTCGATGATTACATTCGGGGTTGTACCGTTGCTGTCGCGGCTGAGTCCCGCATTAGTGTTGCTGCTGTGCCCAAGACCGTCGACGGTGGAGTCTCCACGAATGATGTTACCATTCTTGATGCCGCGTTCCTCGCTGGTAGCAGCCAAGCTCTCAGAAGCGCTAATGCTGCCGTCTCCATCGCGGTGTGTGTACAGAGAGTCGTCATCTGATGGGATTTGACCAGGCTCGTACGTGACTCCGTCGAGAACGTGCTCATCGATGAGCGTTCCATTCGAGGCGAGAGTGCCCACAGCGCTGTGCTGCAGCATCTGCGGAGTGCTGATGCGCTCTGCATGTTTGATGTGTGTCCTCGTGCCTGTTTGTGCATTTCGTGTCGTGCGTGATTGCTCACTACTGCCCATGGCGCGTTCGTCGGCTGTATTAAAGTTGTGGGTCCTCTGCGCTTGCTTCGTGATGCCCGTGGTGGTGTCATCCGTCAATTCAATGGCGCTACATGGCCGGAAAGGCACCTCCGGGGATGCTGGGAGACAGGCACGAGTGTGTAGGCGTGATCTTGCGGCGAGAGACGGAGTGAGGTGAGTTGAGTGAGGCGACGCCGAGCACTCCTCCGAGTATGTGTACCTGATGCCTTCATCCTCCGTACCTTCTTCGCCGAGACACATCTCAACCTCCCTCATGAGACTCGGATCTCGCATTGCTCTTGACATCAGATCAACGGCAGCACCCCATTTCCAATGGTCGTCGCGTTGATACAACTCGTAAGCGGCGCGGAGAATGGCATTGTAGGGGTCGTCGCGGACGTGCTCGCTCCTTGGATGCTGGCGTATGGCATGGGCAATCTTGTTAGCGGCAGAGACGGGCGGAGAAGGCAGTTGATAACGCATGACGTTGAAGTGCTGTCCTTTGAGGCCAGCGCGCTTGTGTTCCGCCGGGAAAAAGAGAGATTTGAGAGTCTGGCGTGGTAGGAGATGTGAATGTTGAGAAGAGGAAGTTGCAGCTGAAGTTAAGGTGGAAGTGGAAGCTAGAGGTGGAGCCGGAGCGGGAGCCGGAGGCGGAACGGGACGTACCGGTGTGTCCGCGCACGTTGCTGCGCGAGTCAGCGCGGCATCCTGACGTCGACACTCCGTCAGTCCATGGCGACAACTTCGATGAACCCGATGCCGCTGGGACATATGTGATGTCCAGCTCCATGGCCTCTCCAAAATCGACTTCGCACAAGGCCGCGACGAAATCTCGGGCCTAAAGCAACGGATCCCAGACCGACCATCGCCGACCAAGCTAGCAGCACCAGGGAAAGGCCCAGCAGCTGCAGCAACGGTTCAGAGTCGTGAGACGAGCAATCTGACTTCCTTCGTCGACGGTCATTCCTCACAATCCTCAATCCACCCAAATTTGTTAGTCCGCTCAAGTAGACAATAGTAGAGCTGGCTGCTTGCTTGACCGAACGCTCGTGAATAAAGTGAGCGCAAGCGCACGCATGGAAGCAAAGGCGGTCGTGCTGGTAAGCCATTCGAGGATACGGAGAAGGGATTGCAAAACACGGCCGAGACTGCAGTGAGACTGTAAGTAGTGACATGACTCAGATCGACGCCGTGGAACAGCGTGACACAAGGAGTGCTTGCTCGATCGTAATGAGCGTCGTTTTGACCTCAAGCTGGGAAGAAGGTCCACATAGCACCTTGAGCCTTCTGCTGTGGCAGAAAGCTCACGCGATTTGGGGGATCTCCGGAAGACGGTACCTTGCGTATATCCAGAAGATGTCCAAGTGTGCAGTTGCCCAAGTCACTCAGGTAGCTGAAGGGCCAAGGCCCTCTTGCAGTCCCTTTTCTCCGTCACCGGTGCTCACTCTGCCGACAACTAGTGGTCGGATCATGCGCGACGTATCCTGTCTGAGTCCAGGGACCAGTCGCCTACAGCCCGGACGTGATCAGTATCCGATGGTTGTCTCAAGGCTCCCTCCCTTTCGCCGTCAATACAAAGACCAAAGCCTAGCAGCTTGGAGGAGGGAAGACAGATCTCGGGGAACACCGCAAGAATCGGATACATTGTGATCTCGACGGAGCGCAATGTGTATCTGTAGCATGACAAGGATAGAGAAAGTAGTCGAGGGCAAACGTGACCGCCGTTATTCCAGCCAGCCTTATCTCCTTTTCGCGGCATGCCTTCCTTCGCATTGGCAACGATTGTGTCCAGCTCGCTCTAGGTCGTCCCTCCATCTTGCTTCTTACGGTACACATGCCGTGTAAAGATATCGATGAACATCCTCCATGGCTCTTCCTGTGGTACGTCTTTCAAAAGCATCGTAATTGCGTGGCAGCCGTCCGCAGAACGGCGGAGGCCGTTCGACAGGGCAGAGATATCGGCGGTGACGATGTCGGCATCGTGAATGCTGCTTAGAGTATCACTGTATCGCCAATCTCAATCGGATGACCTGTGTGATAAGAAGTACTTCTGTTGCTGGCCCTCTTAAGATTAGGTCTTTCGAAATCCTGTCTCGGGGGAGCTTGAAGCTCAGGATGATCGGCGAGCTCCGAGTTTCGGCACCGAGGCAGAAGTATCGAAACATCTTCATCGATGTTTATAGAGCGTTGGCTGAGGCATGGCGCCGCCACGACGGAGGAAGCTGTCGTGACTCGTGACGTAGTAAGTGAGGAAGAGAATCGAGCTGGTGGCCAGGCCTCTGCATTGTTGTGACGATGAGTGCGATGTAGTGATGGCCGAGACACGAGTGATACGGTGGACGAAGAACAGGATCGTGATGCATGTTGATGGCGGCGAGGTCGACAACATGGAGTGTTTTGGTCCTGTCCAAATTAAGTTGCAGCGGATGGATGAGTCACGGTCACGGCAGTTGCCCGGCTCCGCGTTGTGGTAAAAGCACTCGTATGTCGTATAATAATCTATCTAAGACTAGGGTGTGAAGGAACAAAGAGGAGTAAGTGCCAAGACGCACGCATAGGCTAGCATCACGTAATGCTTAGGCCTTATAACCCTCCCCTCTTCCGGAATAAGAGCTATGCCTCTCTAAAAAAAAATATAATATTATAGAACTTAAATGAAATTCCGAAACTATATTATCTATAATTAAATCCTTCTTATAGATTCGTACACTCCTCTAAAGGTATTAAGTGTCGCGCCCTAATAGTACTACTAGTAGGTCGTAGGCTAAGGTAGCTCTTTACTAGTCCCCGAAATATAAGAGCTCGGCGACTATAAGATATCGCCTTATTCCTTCTTATTAGTATCTAGCTCCGGAGCGTAATAGTAGACGAGTTTTCCCTATCGAACTTATAGGTAGTCCTATACTAGCCGATAGTTTACGAAGTATTACTACTCGTTATAGAATTCGGGGCTATAGTCTAGTCTAATATCGTTAGTAATAACTATCTTTCTATCGGCGATTATATTAAGAACTTTATCGAGAGTTAGATAGATCGAAAGATATTCTAGGAGAAGCCTATCTATAAAATGTTCCTTTAGCGTAACGCGTAAGGTAGTAGCTAGTCGGACCTATACTATATTTATATTACTTACCTTACTTACTACCGAGATTTAACTCTTACGAAGATCTCGAGCCTTCGCTATTATCTTACTCTTATAGCGTTTAAAGTTTGCCTTAAGGAACTTATAGTAAGTCTTATACTCTAGTATAAGCTTACGGTAATCCTCGCGTTATATATCTATTTTAGCCTTCGCTAATCCTAATTCGACCGCTCCCTAAACAAAATCTATACGTTTCTTATATATACGTTATATAATATTATCTACGTAGTTAGGATTATTTAATCCCTAGAGGGTAAGTTAAGCTCTTCTAAAAGAGCTAACTTTAGCCTTATCGGCTTTAGACACTTAAAAGCGACCTATAGAATCGCGCGCTATATTATATATTAGTATTCTACGCTTACGAACCTGTCTAGTTTTCGTAAATTAAATAGATACGTCTAGGTTACCGATTATCTTCTACTTCTTCTTACTTATATTAAAGACGCCTTTAGCTTAATCTTCTAAGAGTAAATAGAAGCCGTCTTTGCTTTTAGTCTTTAGGATAGACTCGTAGTCTAAGTAGATATATCCCTTAAAGGAGAAGAAGTATAGGGTAGCTCTATATAAGTTATAGCCGTAGAGTTTCGGCTTTGTCTACTTAACGATATTATAAACTTAGGTAGGTAATAGAGTCGGCTTCTTAGAGCGGTCGATTTTCCCTTAGCTCTTATTCTTTAAATATATAACTAACTAGTCCCTTATTCGCTTTCTCTCTACCTTTCGGGCTTAGGTCGCTTTATTAGTCTTAATAGCGTTTCCGTTTAAGTTAGATCGCCGGCGCTTTACTCTAGTCTCTACCTTAGATAATAATTAAGAAGAATTCTCCTTAAAGGATTTAGCCGAATCTATATAATCTATAGTAAGGTTATACTTATTTAGGTCCTTAGCCTATAGTTAGACATTCTCCGGGTATTATAGCTAGGGTAGCTTATTTGTCGGCTCTACTACGCGCTCGTCGAGGTTAATCTTCTTAGACTCCTATCTAACCTCCTCTAGTTCCCTATCTTATAGTCGAGCTTAGATACGTTCCTAGTTCTAGAATCGTATAACTAAAATTTTATTATACTTAGGCTAGGGAGTAGTAAAGATGTCCGGGTCGTTAGGATCTTAGCGGAGCTAAGCGACTATTATACTATATATAGCGTTATAGGTCTCTAATATTTCTTTAAATTATCTCTCGAACGGCTCCTAATCTACCTTAAGTTAAGGAATTCTATAATATTTATCTTAGGCGTAAGTAAGGTAGTTAAACCGTTCGATACTAGATATAGATTCCTAACGCTCTATTAGTTTATAGACCGCCGCTATATACTAGGTACGAATAGGAGAAGAAACTCTAGTAACTATAGCCTACTACTTATAGTACCTCTCGAACGTCTAATTCTCGGAGAATATAATAGTCTAGAAATCCGGGGCGTTAATAGGTAGCTTGTTTTCGTCTTTCTCGTAGTTATCGTTATAGTAAAGTACTCTCGCCTAGAAAAGTCTCTAGAAATTCTCTTACTAAATATTCGGAATGTCTCTACTATACTATACCTAAGCGTCGTAAAGCCCGGAAAGTACGCTTCTTCTCTCTTTCTCCGGCTCTTTAGCTAGCTTATTCCGGATTACTCCGTCCCGTATAATCTTTGTTAGGGTAGCTAGATATAGCGGAATAAAGTTATCGTAGGCTTAACTACCTCTAGTAGTAGGTAGCTTAGGGTAGATAACTAGAGCTTCGTCTAGCTACGGCCCTTTCTTACTACTATAGAGCGTAGTAGCTTTTTCGAGCGCTAGTCGCTAGGAGTCTAATTTATCTTCCTACTACTTATAAAAAACTTAGTATATCGCCGGCTTCTTTAGTTTCTTCGGGTTATATATCTCTACTAGTATCGGCTCCGGGTCTATTATAGCGTAAAGATCTCGTAGTAGGGGTAAGTTAGGACTTACGCCTAAGTTTATATTCTTCGTTCGTAGCGTATAGCCGGCGTCGTAGTCGCGCGACACGTCGCTAGAGATTACGGCGTAGTTTTCTACTATCGTATTAGTTTCGTTTACCTCTATTACTAGAGGTTAGTATTATTCGTAGAAATATTTCGTACTATCGGGGATAAAGTTATTATTATCGGATATACGATAGTATATAAATCGTAGTGTTCGTTTACGACGTACGTAAAAGCGTTCGTAACTAAACTAAACGCCGTAAACCGTATATAGTATATAAAAATTATAGTTCTAGTATAGACTATAAATGCCCTAGAACGATAGTTATCTCCGGTAGGAGTATCTATAGAGTATTATATATTATGTTACTATCGGGGACTTCTCGTAGGTAGGCCCGATCTATTAGTTAACTCTCCCG